TGGGTCCTGGGAATTTAATCTTTGAGTGTGAGACTGATTCAGAGTAGCCTTCGTGGCTGAGGAGTTTCCACAGTCCTAACCCACCAAGCCAGGCAGGCTCACCAAGCTGAGAAAGCCCTGCTGCTCTCAAACACAGCCCAAGTTTTCCCACTTTGTCACTTTGAAACATTCAAAAAGATTTATTTTTAATGATGTGTATGTGTGTGGGTATGTGGACATGCGTGCGGGTGCCCTTAGAAACCAGAAGACATCAGATCTCCTGGAGCTGGAGTCACAGGCAGCTCACGGCCTGGCATGGGTGCTGGGAACTGAACTCTGGCTTTCCCCGAGAACAGAGGGAGCTCTTACCTGCTGAGTCATCTCTGCGGCCCCTCACTTGGACTTGCTCTATCATACTTGATAACTGAGGAGCAGGCTTCAGCTTTGAAGGATTTCAGTATAATCAGTAATAGATTTTTCAGAAGCAGCCTTAGCATGAGTTAGTGGTGGTGGTGTTTTTTTTTTTTTCCAAAATGGGAAAATTCTAAGTGTCATTGTTCCCACACTTCTTAAAGCAGTGATGCTCCTCTACTGCCCTCTCAAGGTTTTCAAAGCTTTTCTCCATTAACAAAAACTTAAAAAGCCCAAATAGTATCTTAAAACCATACCTAAGGGCTCATAATGTAAACAATTGTGACTCTTCACCACTTAAAAAGCTTCAGCAACATTTGTCTTAGGTTTCGGTTTCTGTGAAAAGACACCATGACTATGGCAACTCTTATAAAAGGAAAACATTTAATTGGGGCTGGCTTTCAGTTTCAGAGCTTTATAATCATGGTGGGAAGCAAGGCAGCATGCAGGCAGACATGGTGCTAGAGAAGCTGAGAGTTCTTACATCTTGACTCACAGGCAACAGGAAGTGGTCTGAAATACTGGGCATAGCTTGAGCATATATGGAACTTCAAAGCCCGCCTCCACAGTGACATACTTCTCCCAACAAGGCCACACCTCCTAATAGTGCCATTTCCTTTGGTGTGGCCATTTTCTTTTAAACCACCATAACCTTCTTCATGCTTGCTGTGTGGGTGGCTATTTATGTCCCAGTAAGATTATTTGGGGGTGGGGCTGGGGAAATGGCTCTGTGGTCGAGTGCTTGCTCCTCTTACAGAGAAACTGAGTTGAGTTTCCAGCATCCACACACCCACACAGGGTGATTCACAATCACCTATAACCCCATCTGATGCCCCCTTCTGGCCTCTGTAAGCACTGCACTCACATGCACAAACCCCCAGACACATACACATAACTGAAAAAAACAAAAAACAAAAACAAAATTACTTGAGGACTTTTGAATCCTTAAATACACAATTAAAAATACTTTGCATTCAAATTAATAGGAAGGAGCAAAAACCTTTCCTTAGATATAATTCTCAGGTTTTAAATCCCAACACTGCTGATTTCAGCTGCACATACACAAATTTGGACCAAGAGAAATCAGCATGGCCCCTGTATAAGAACGACATGAGATTTAAGGTATTTGTTTCACAAATTGTACACCTGTAAGGTTTATCAACAATGAGATAAAAAAGTTCAGTGAGTTTATACTATAATTTTGTAGAAAAAATAATCTACTCAGTTATGTATTTTATTGATGAAAAAACTATAATATCAGCAGATTTATTTTTTTATTTTTGTTTTTTTGAGACAGAGTCTCTCTGTGTAGCCCTGGCTGTCCTAGAATTAGCTCTGTAGACCAGACTGGCCTTGAACTCACAGAGATCTGTCTGCCTCTGCCTCCTGAGTGCTGGGATTAAAAGTGTGTGCCACCACCACATGGAATATTGGCAGTTTTAAGGAATAAAAAAGAAATATGAACTGTAAAAGTCTTCTGTTGGATGTGGCTGGTCATCATCTTTGATTTGAGAATACTCCATAAAGAGAAATCAAATTATACATTAAGAGCATTTACTATTTTTGTAGAGGACCTGAGTTCATTCCCAGCACTGACATTGTGCAATTCACAACAGCCTCCAACCCCATCTCCAAGAGATGTGATGCCCTCTTCTGGCTTCTGTGGGCTCATGCATTCATATACACAACCCACATATATACTCATCCACACACATATTTTAAAAACACACAATCAAGAAGGGTAACCACAATATAAATGACAAGTTCTATTATTTTATTGTATTTACCACCAACCTCTCTGCTGAATTCGCTGAGCTACAACTGACTAGATACTGTAAAATTTTCAGTTAGAGTGAGACTCCTTCCTGCTTGCTCCCTAGAAAAAGGGGGAACATTTAATCTGCAAGGCCCTGTGAGAACTCAAGTGAGGTGAGGAGCGCAGGTCTGGGAAGCAGCCATGCCTGTCATCCCAGCACTTGGGACTTGGAGGCAGAAGGATCAGGAGTTCAAGGCCAGCCTCAGCTACGTAGTCATTTTGGAATTTGAGACCTGCCTAGGCTCCATGCCACTGTTTCAAGACAAAACAAACAAAAAAATCTAAATCTAAAAAGGCAGCCTGGGAGGGGAGCTAACAGGCTTCCTGATTTTTGTGCCACTCGGGCAAAGTGAATGACCCCATCCTCTCCACTCACTGAGTTGTCTAGGCAGGTCTTGGACTTTAATTCTCCTGCCTCCTACTTCCCTAGTAGCTGGGCAGGCTTAAAGCTAGCTTTTTCCATATGCACAATGTTTGTTTCGCCTCCAGAACTATAGCTGTTCACACATATATAATTTTTAAAAAACCAATCCACTAGCCGGGCGGTGGTGGCGCACGCCTTTAATCCCAGCACTCGGGAGGCAGAGCCAGGCGGATCTCTGTGAGTTCGAGGTCAGCCTGGTCTCCAAAGCGATTTCCAGGAAAGGCGCAAAGCTACACAGAGAAACCCTGTCTCGAAAAAAGAAAAAAAAAAAACCAATCCACCGACATTTATTCTGCTATTTTTTACCTCTAAGCCACCATGTAACTGTGTTCCTTTCTGGGGTGCAGAGCAGTGCTTTGGTATGGGTGCATATTGCAGCGACATTTTCATCACACTTTGACTGCCTTTTTACTACTAGTATTGTGGAGAGGGGCTGTGGTGAATAAATGAGCCAGCCCCCATAGGCTCACATATTTGAATGCTTAGTCACCAGAAACTGGAACTGCTGAGAAGGATGAAAAAGATTAGAAGGTGTGGCCTCATTTGAGCAAGTGTAGCCTCAGAGGAAGGTGGCTGTTGAGGTTTCAAAAGCCACACCAGGCCCAGTCTCTCTTTCCGCTGCCTGATGAGGATGTAGACCTCTCAGCTACTTCTCCAGCACCATGACTGCCTTCATGCCCCCATGTTTCCCACCATGATGATAATGGACTGAGCCTCTGAAACTGTAAGCAAGCCTCTATTTAAAAAATTTCCTTGGTAAGAGTGTGCCTTGGTCATGGTGTCTTTTTATGGCAACAGAACTCTAAGACAGAAGTTGGCACCAGAGAGTGGCACATTGCTGTGCTGGGCGACTATGCTGTTTGTTGGAGGACTATGGAAGACTTTGGAACTTTGGACCAGAAAAGCAGTTGAATGATTTAAGCAGGGCTTAGTGGTTCATCCTTGTAACTGGAGCACAGGCAGTGGTGTTCAGGGCCATGTGAGCTGTGGGTGGCCCAGCTCAAGAAACTTTAGAAGGGAAGAATATTAGCAGCTGGCCTAGAGACCATCATCCTGTTATATTTTGGCAAAGAATGGCTGCTTTTTACTGTTGCCCTAAAGATCTGCCTGAGGCAAAGTTGGGAAGTTTTAGATTAATGGTGTTGGCACAGATTCTGAGACAGTCTAGCACTGATTGTGTTGTGTGGTTACTAGTGATGACTTACTTACCTGCAGATATATGAGAAGGGTCAAGGGAGGCAGGAAGAAAGACAAAACGTACAGTTTGAGGAGAAAAGGAGCAGGCGTGTAATGGTGCCAAGTCCTGTGCTCAAGGAAATAACGTTTAAAGCCTGATGCTAAATGGAACAAGGGGAGTGGCCTCAGGGAAAGACTGCCCAGCTGAGCCTTCAAATTGTTAAAAGCAATGGAAGGAAAGCTTAGGTAGTGAAGGAGGCCAGCAAAAACATAAGGCTTATGAAACGCAATGCAAGGAGGGCCCAGGTTACAGCCCCAGCAAGGAGAGGAACTTGGCAGCTTTGGCCACAGGGCTCTCTACCCTAAGAGTCAAGGGGAAGGGGTTGTGCAGTCCTCTGTGGTTAATGAAAGTCACCAAGGATGGGCATTTGGTAGAGCAGTCCCTGCATGAAGGTCCAGAGAGGTCACTGTACAAAGCTGTGAAGGTGAAACCTGGATTGCATTAGAAACCCTGAGATGTTGGAGATGCCAGAGTCGTAGGATACCTGCCAGGCTGCTAACAGGTGGGAACCAGCCTAAGAGAAGTGTGTTGCAGGCAATAGGAGTTGGAAATCTGAAGAACACTTTGACATCAGACATGGAGATGCAGAGTTTGGAGTTTGCTCTGCGGAATTATAATTCTTGGTCCAGTATTTTCCTCCCTATTGGAATAGTAATGTATACCCTGTGCCATTATATGCTGGAAGTATTTGATCTGCTTTTTGATTGTTATTTTACAGGGGATTACAGTTAAGAGATTGCCATGAGTCTCAGAAGAGACTTTGAACTTTTAAATAGTGCTGAAACTGCTATAGACTATGGGGACTTTTGAAGTTGGACTGAATGCATTTTTGCATTATGATATGGCCACAGGGGGCCAGGGAGTAGAATATGATAGTTTGAATGAGCATGACCCCCATAGGTTACCAGGGAGCAGAACTGTTCGGGACGGATTAAAAGTATTAAGTGGTGTGGCCTTGCTGGAAGTGCCCACATCAGGCCTAGTCTCTCTAGCTGAGGATCAGGAGGCAAAGCTCTCAGCTGCCATTCCAGCACCATGTCTCTCTGCACACTGCCATGATGATGATGGATTGACTCTGAAACTGTAAGCAAGCATCCAATTAAATGTTTTCCTTTGTAAGAATCAACTTGGTCATGCCTTAAACTTTGAGTAAGGAAATTAATGATTCGGGGTGATGCCTGAGTCCCCACTGCTAATGTGGGAATTTTTGAGTGGGTAAAGGTTGTCCTTAAGGTGACCCACCTACTTTGCAGGATGCCTGGGTGTGGTAGTCTGCCTGACCCCCTGTATGTTAAAGAAAATCAGAAAGTTGACAAGCTGGCTGCACAGTTGTCCTGAGACTACATCCTGTGTGTGCTGCGGGATGTCCTGTATGCTGTAAATATATGTTGCTATGATTGATAAATAAAATGCTGATTGGCCAGTAGCCAGGCAGGAAGGATAGTGTAGGCAGGACAAGGAGAATGCTGGGAGGTGGAAGGCTGAGGCAGGGAGACGCTGCCAGCTGCCATGAGAAGCATGATGTAAGATACTGGTAAGCCACGAGTCATGTGGCAAGGTATAGATTTATAGAAATGGGTTAATTTAAGATGTAAGAACAGATAGCAAGCAGCCTGCCATGGCCATACAGTTTGTAAGTAATATAAGCATCTGAGTGATTATTTTATAAGTGGGCTGCAAGACTGTGGGGGCTTGGCGGGACCTGGAGAGAAACTCTCCAGCTACATGTATGGTCAGGGGCTGTCTTCCAAATAAACAGGGTTTATCCCCCCCACCCCCCAAAAAAAATCAACTTGGTCATTGGCGCCCAACGTGTTGGCAAGAGTTTCCACCTAAGTGAGTAAAAAAGATTCTAAAACGGAGCTAAAAACAGCTCCTAGTTGTCTCTTTTAAGCTAGCGGCAGCCTGCATGTTTGAGCTACTATGGCGGGTTCCTGGCGTGCATGCTCGACCTGCAGTATGGCGGGAATGAGGCCTCTGCAAGTGGCACATTAAGCTGTGTGGTGGATTTAACCTTTGCTAGTACAAAACAAAAAAAAAAAAGAAGAGGTTTCTGGGCTACACGCTGCTTTGATAGAAGCATAGACCCACTATTTCTGAGAGTTGATGGCTCCCAGAGCTGGCGGAAAACGTACCACCGCCATGTTGGGAAGCTGAATTGGGCGGAGCCAGCAGCCATAGCGCCAGCGCCGTTTCAGGCTTAGAAGGCTGCAGTTTAAAGCAATAGGCTCAAGCCAATATAAAAAAATAAGCCACGTAAAGATGGCTACCACACAGAGAATCTGGATTATGTTCTCTTTGATATTCGTAACTGAAGAAAAACATTTGATTGTAAAAGCTGTTGAGTTATGCCAAAATGTATATTTTAAAGGTACCTTGACTTCAAAATTTGGATGTAAGGATATGTTGCTTTGGAAAGGAGGCTCTGCTTTTGTTTCCACAGAAAGCCAGAGGCTATGGATTTGTTCCAGATTAAGATACATCAGGTTTGACCAGCCAAGACCCCCTGAAAGGTCTCCAATGACACCATGGCCCAGATGATCCAACATCCAGAACCGTTTCAAGGCAACTGGCTCAGACGATACACCCTCATGGACTACTCCATAATCCTAAAATATTCTTTGTGTCCCCATAAGATACAGCGCCTCCCTCCAGCAGGAAGTAGTAAGAGAATCTACGCCCAAATTCCCAAATATACCAAGCTGACTTTGGAGATGTGTAAAGGTTAAAAACCTTCCTTTTTAAGAAAAGAAAAGGGGAAGTGCTGTGGGATGGTCTGTATGTCAAATGTGTTGCTGATTGGTCAATGAATAAATCACTGATTGGTCAGTGGCCAGGCAGGAAGTATCAGTGGGACTAACAGAGAGGAGAATTGAGAGAACAGGAAGCTGGGTGAGGGAGACACTGCCAGCCGCCATCAGGACAAGGAAGATGTAAAGTACCGGTAAGCCATAAGCCACGTGGCAAGGTATAGATTAATAGAAATGGATTAATTTAAGCTGTAAGAACAGTTAGCAAGAAGCCTGCCACGGCCATACAGTTTGTAACCAATATAAGTCTCTGTGTTTACTTGGTCGGGTCTGAGTGGTTGTGGGACTGGCAGGTCAGAGAGTTTGTCCTGACTGTGGGCCAGGCAGGAAAACTCTAGCTACAGGTCATGGTGTCTCTTCATGGAAATAAAACATGGGTTCAGGGCATGTGTTTGCTATCAAGCCTGACACTGAGTTTGATTCCTCGGTCCCACTTGTCCTCTCTTCTCTATACCCAATCATGGCATACATGCTCAGATCTGTGCATTCAATCCATGTAATAAAAAACTCAGGCAAGCAAGCTTACCTGGCATGTGTAAGGCTCTGGGTTTAACCCATGGCACACAGGTTAATCTTTCCTTATGGGAATTTGTTTCTAGTTATGTTGGATTGCTACTACCAACTTCCTGCAAGGATGCCACAATAGACACTTTGGAGGGGCAAAGGGGCAAAGACATTCACTCTTGACTTAAATGGCTAGGCAATCTAGGCTGGGTTAAGTAGAGGATGTTCACTGCTCAGAGTGCCTCCCTGCCTGAGTCCTCCCCATCAGAAAGACATAGATACTTAAGAGAATGCCTATTACCTTCTAGAGAGGGTTGTGAATGGAACCAAGCAAATGTGCTTGTTTGGATCAAGTCTGAAAGGCTTTTCATTCAGGACAGGAGCAAGAACAGACTTGTCACCGAAAGTTTTCTAAGCCTGTGAATTGTGAACAAGTTCCCAGTGGCTCATTCAGTGAAAATAAGCAAAACAGTCACACTAGTAAGGCGTTAAAGCTATGGAGACTGTCCAATCCATCTAAGCACCCATCCTAGCACTCGAGAGGCAGAGCCAGGCAGATCTGAGGCCAGTCTGATCTACAGAGTGAGTCCCAGGACAGCCAGGGCTATTGCAGAGAAACCCTGTCCACTATAATCTAAGCACCCATGTACTTTGTCATGTAGGACTGAAGAAGCATTCTTTCCACCCTTTACATTACTGGATCTGAAGAAAGTAAGCTGGATCTTTTTTAGAAATGACAGCAAACTTTTCAGTAGTTGTCCCTAAGTACTCCATGGCGTTAATCAAACCTAGGGCTTCCCATGTGCTAAGAAAGCAGTCTACCACCACACTACATCCCAGGTCCTTGCTGGTTAGTATCTAGAAATGATTCACTGGGCCTTGGCCCCAGGAAAGGGATGTTAACTGTCATCAAGATAACTACTGCTAGTACCCAATTCAGTACTTGAGCTAAATCATCCCAATTATCACCAACACTCTGGAACACACAAGTCAGGAAACCTTTGGAGGCCCTGGTAGAAGAGAACTACGTACTGCCACTGTTCTGGACCTCACAGAAGTTAGTGGGGCTATGGTGGGGTGTTGCTAAAGCAACAGGTCTAGGGAGTTTGAGGAGGAGCAGAGAGCCCCTGGGAGTGGAGCTCCTCCATCTGCAGTCAGTTATGGGAACTTCGAGGCAGCCAGGACCCCACTTATCTCCGCTCTTGCTTTGCACTCCTCTGCTGGACTTCATGGGGTTTACCCTTCAGTGGAGTTCGGCAGGCCACCAGGGACGGCTGCAAGCCAGCTGGGCACTTCACTCAGCTTCCCGTGGATTAAACAGACAGGCTTTGACTGCCAGCCTTTGGAGTTCCGTGTCCCTTGTGAAGCAGAAGGAGCTGTGGCACCTAGCAGACACCTTCTATCAAACGTGCCCAAGATCCTTCCCTCCCGCGGTCCAGGCCAGTCTGCTCCTTGCAGAGCACCTCCTCTCAGTGTGACTCCATCCACTTCTTGCTAGCTCTTCATTGTCTTCTTCAGACACTTGCAATGTAGGCGTCTGGCTTTTCCTGCATGGACTGTGGCAATCTTTTCCTATGAGAACAGTTCATGGACACCAGACAGAAGGCCTGTGTTTTTGAAGAACCCTTTCCCTTTTTCTGATGCTGGGAATGCACCCAGGGCCTCGCATGTGCTTGCCCGGCACCTTACCACTGAGATGTCCAGCAGGAATCAACTGTGAAACTGTGACTTGTGCCACAGCCTGCTCAGAAAAGTTTCAGCTCTTCCTTTTACTGAAGATTGAACCTAGGGCCTCACACTTGCTAGACAAGTCACAGACTGTAGCACCAGTCTTCCTTTTGAGTATGGGTCTCACGTTGCTGGATTTTAATTTCTGAGACAGGATCTCAAGTTGCTCAGGCTAGCTTCCAATTTGCTATGTAGCCAGAGATGACCTTAAATTTCTGATCCTGTCTGAAACACACCTGGCTTACACAGTGCTGGGGCCTGAAGCCAGGATTCATGCATATCAGACAAGCACAGCCAGCTGAGCCGCTTCCCCTGAACCCACAGTCTTAGGGGCTGGCAAGATGGCTCAGTGGGTAAAGGTGCTTGCTGCCAAGCCTGACAGTCTGAGTGAGCCCTAGAACTTACACAGTGGAAGGAGAGCCAACTCTGGTAACTTGTCCTTTGACCCCCATGCAACACCACAGAACATGCAATATTAATAAATGTACTAAAATAATTAAAACAAAACTCTAGCAATTTGTCCTGACCTCCATATGACACCATAGAACATGCATGTTCATAAATGTACCAAAATAGTAATTAAAACTAATAAAAACTTTATTAGGAGCTTGAGAGATAGCTCAGTGGTTAAGAGCATGTACTGGCTCATACAGAGCACAGGAATTTAGTTCCTAGCACTCACAACTCCAGGATCTGACACCCTCTTCCGACCTCCTCAGGACTGTAGGCAAAGAGTACCCAGACTTACACAGCAGGCTAGCACTCATCCACATAACAAGGCAAACAAGTCCCATAAAGATGAAGAGAGGAAATGGATGCAACAATAATCTAGGCAGATGGGGCAGGGCTAACTGTGGGAAACATTTAGTTGGCTACTTAGCCTTTTGAATTGTCTACTTGTTGGAAATCCTTCAAGATAATAAATGCTTAGTTATTATAAATAAATGCTTACCAATTGTGCACCCTCCATTTATTAGGAGACCAGTTGCATCAAGAGTATTTACTTACTGACATTTGCTGAGCCAAGCTACAACCTGAGCTGTGATAAAGGTGCCTCGCATTACAGACTATCCAGTTGCCACTGAGAGACAGTTTTACTTCTAATTTACAGCATTAAAAATACTCAAAAATTGAGTTATGCTGAGTGTGTACTGTTACAAAATTTTCAGAAATGGTGGAGCCATAGTTACTCCCTCCAAAAGTTTGAATTCATAAAATGTATCACTCACTAGCATGC